CCAGCCCCGGCACGGTCAGGGGGAGTGCCCCACCCCAGGGCAGTGCGGGGAGGGGGCACAGATACCGGTTTCCCCCTCACCCCGCTCAGGGGCTGGTGGGTGCTGGTCCCGGATCCATCCGTCAGCAAGGACAGCATTCCCTGTCCCCCCTTCCTCTGCTCCTGCTTCGGGAGCGCACCGAGCCCCCCAGGACCGGGAGCGGGCAGGATTTTGGGGTTCACCCTCCACCACCACGGGGAGGAAGAGCTCGGGGGTGATGCCAGGGGTGGGTGGCTGCATCGTGCCCCTCCACACCCCCTCACCCCTCGGCCCCCAGGCGTGGGCTTCGCCACGCGGCAGGTGGCCGGCTTCACCAAGCCCACCACCATCATCGAGCTGGATGGCGACAAGATCACCGTGAAGACCCAGAGCACCTTCAAGAACACCGAGATCACCTTCAAGCTGGGCGAGGAGTTCGACGAGACCACGGCAGATGACAGGCACGTCAAGGTGAGCCCCAACCCTGCCCCACCCCGTGGCACCCCCGAAAGGCTCTGTGGGCTCCGGGGGATCTCTCCATCAGCCCGCGGCTCCAGGGCTCCATCCTGGCTCCCTGTGCAAGGGGAAAACCTCTGTGTCCTCCGGGGCCGCTGCTCAATCCCAGTCCCCTCCAGACAGGCCCCCCTGGTCCGTTTTGGGGCTGGGCTCCCCCGGGAGCAGGACGGAGCTGCCGGGAAGGTTGAGCAAGAGCCGGGCTGGCGAGTGCCAGCTTGCTCAAGAGGAGGCCGTGGTGGGGTGGTGAGAAGTGTCCCTGCCCTGAGGGAAGAGAGGCACCACACCCCTTTCTTGAGCCCCTTCTGGGCCTGCCCTCCCAAGCAGGCAGCGCTGCAGGGATGGAGCACCGGGACAATCCCAGCTGGTCAGCGCCTCTCCAAGGGCTCATCCCAGGGCTGCGGGTCCCTGCGGAGCTCAAAACTTCCCAGGCCAGGCTGCTCCTCCTTGTAACAGCAAGGCAAAAATCACCTGAGAGAGATCAACGACTTTCGTGGCCTCTCCCACCCTGCAGGAACATTTTCCCTTGAAGGAGTGGCCCATCTCCTGACTTTTCCTAGATTTCAGCTGCCGCGCCCATGCCCCACTGAACGCTCCATGCAGGAACAGCTGGCAGCTCTGTGCCCCACACCCAGCCCGGGGGGCCACCTCAGGAGGGACCTGGCGGCTCTTTGGGCACAAAACCCTTTCCTGGCCCCAGAGCAGGAAGCACAAAGGGCTGGGCTCGGAGTGAGGCTGGGGGAAGGGGCTGAGTGTGAGCTCCCTCCCGCCCCAGCTCCTGGAAGCCGTTCAAGCAGCAGGAGCGTGTGACCGGCCCGGAGCTGCTGCCACAGCCCGGGACGTGCCCTTGGGGTGCCCCCAGGCCGGGGGCCAGAGGGCACATGATGGGTCAGCGGGGCCAGGACGGCTGCCCGAGGCACGGGGCTGGACAGGGATGGGGCAGAGGGGGTCAGCCATGGGGTGTTGTGGGGCACCCAGGATAGTATGGAATGGTTTGGGTTGGAAGGGACCTTAAAGATCATCTAAATCCAACCCCCTGCCATGGCAAGGACACCTCCCATTGTCCCAAGCCCCAGTGTCCAACCTGCCTTGGACATTCCAGGGATCCAGGGGCAGCCACAGCTGCTCTGGGCACTCCCCACCCGCACAGGGAGGAATTTCTCCCCAGTATTCCAGGCACAGCCCTGCCCTCTGGCTGTGGGTTCCAGGGCAGTGGGGCACTCGAACCCTGCGGGTACCCAAACTTTTGGAGCAGTTGACCCAGCTGTGGGGAGAATTGGGATCTGAGGGAGCACCCAAAGCTTTGTGGGGCCTTTGTGGGGCTGGGGCACACCTGAGCTCTGGACAGACCCAAGCCATGGGGGCACCACCCGAGGGGCAGCCCCCGGCTCTGGAGGGGCTGGGTGGGGGGCACAGGGCAGGATGGGGACAGGCGGGCGGTGTCAGTGCTTTTCCTGGCACAACCCCGTCCTGCGTGCCGTGGCCGGCGCTGTCACAGTAACCTTGGCACAGGCCGGGCTCTCGGGGCTGAGTCAGCAGCGGCGCTGTGCAAACAGCAGCGCGGCGAGCAGAGGCGTGTTTGCCGCACCAGCCCCTCCAAAAACCCTCGGCGGGCCCTGCAGGGCAGGGAAGCTCCGGTTCCAAGCCCCGATCCCTGCCCCGCCTCTCTGGTCCCCGCTTGGGAGCGCGGCCGGGACAGGTCTTGGTGGCCCCGGAGTGGGACGTGGCCCCGAGCGGGACTCCCCGTGCTGGCCCCGGGGCACGGAGGGCAGGGTGACCGTGCCGGTGGCACTCCGGGGTCACAGGGGGGCAGCCGAGGCCGTGACCCAGCGCAGGATCCAGGCTGGGCTTAGCGCGGCTGACCAAGCCAAGGCGGGGACGTGCCAGGTTGGCATCCCCACAGTGGCACCCCCAGGCTGATCCCGAGTCCTGCGGGGTTCCAGGGTCCCCTCTGAGCGACAAACCCCCCCAGAGCCCAGAAAGCCCGGGGAGGAAGGTAACTGTGGGTCTCAATCCCTCCCTGCAGTCCGTGGTCACACTGGATGGAGGCAAACTCGTCCATGTGCAGAAATGGGATGGAAAGGAGACATCGCTGGTCCGGGAGCTGAAAGATGGGAAATTAATTCTGGTAAGGAAATGGTTTTATTCTGAGGCCCCCACCTCGGAAATGGTTTGAAGTGGGAAGAGCTCAGCTCGGGGCTGGGCAAGGCAGCACTAACCCCCACACCCCTCTGCCCCCAGACTCTCACCATGGGCAACGTCGTCTCCACCCGCACCTACGAGAAGGCGACATAGGCGCTGTCCCAGGTCCCCTGCCTGTCACCCGGTGCCACATCGTCCCCACCGCCTGGCCCCGTGCCAGGCACGGTTTCCCCTCGGCTCGGAGCCGCTGCCCCGCCGGGGCCGCCCCTGCCCCCGCCCGGCGCCTGCAGGGGCTCGAGGGGCTTGGGTGGTGGTTTCGTGCTTTGTTGTTGGGTTCTTTTTTAATTGAGAGTGGGAAAAGTCTCATGGAAAAATAAAAAAGGTGTTGTTACAGCTCTGTGCTCGGTTTACTGCGGAAAAGGTGCTTTGGGCACGTGCCCAGCCATAGGGATGGCAGGGATGGGGTTAATGGCCAGTGATCCCAGTAGCTCATCTCAGCCTCTTCTCCAAGCGGTGGGGATCACTTCTGCTCAGAAATGTGCTCTCCTGGCGGCAATGTTCAATTCCTGTAGCAGATCAGGATCCAGGAATGCCCCGCCCAGCGAGGCGGATCCACCAGGGCAGGACGGAGCGCCACAGCCTCAGCCAGAGCCGCAGGCTCACCTGGAATAAAGAGCTGAGCTCTTGGTGTCGGGATTTGGGAAGGGAAACGGCCCCAAAGGGGGATGCAGCCATGGGGAGCTGGGCCGGGAAGCACAGGGAAGGAAAGGGATAAGGAGAGGCTGCATCAGCAATCCCAGCTCCTCCTGCCGGCGACGCCAACAGCTGCCAACCCCCCCAGCTCCCTGCAGAGCCAGCGGCCACAGCAGCGACTCCTTCCTGAGGAGGACAATTCGCCCTCAGCACGGGAACCCCCTGTGCTCCCGTGGAGGAGCGCGGCCTGAGGGCCGAAGGGATCCAAGTCCCTTCCCAGAGACAGAGCTCCCAAACGAGTCCCCTCAGAGCTGGCGGTGAGAAGAAAGCCACCCCCACCGTGCTCTGTTTCTTCATGGTTATAGTCTGCACCGCCTTGGTCTCTTCCCCTGGTTTTAGTTCTGAGCCCTCAGACTATTTGCCCTGTTGCTCTACCCCACCCCCTGCCTTCCCCATAGAAATCCCTGTTTCTCCCCAGTTTGATCCCTGGCACCTTCAGAGTGGCCTCCCATAATAAAGACTTTGCTCTCTGTGGAATGCTGTATGAGGCTCCTGTTCTTTATCTCCGTGTCACTGGACAGTGACTTCACAGGAGAGCTGGAGATCACTAGAGCTGAAATCACCAGAGATGGATTCACTGGAGCTGAAATCACCAGAGCTGGAATCACTAGAGATGAATTCACTGGAGCTGAAGGCCCTCACTGCTGAGGGATGTGCCTGTGCCCCTTGGGACATTCCCTGCAGGACACCCCTCCAGGAAGGTCATGGCACCAGGAACACCCCCAGACCCCCGGATTGCAGCACCTTCCCCAGTCACATCTGTCCCAGCAGGGCCGAGCTGCTCCTGGCACACTCCCCCTGCCATCCCTTCCCTGACCTTCAGCTCCAGTTACAAGATCTATGCTCCTTCCAGAAGCTTCTCCTATGTCTCACCTCACCACACACCCCCTTCCCACCCCAGGGAACCTCGGGAAGCAGCCAGAACTTCCCAAAAAAACCCTTTCCCATCTCCTCCATGCAGCCAGTGCTGTTCTTCCCCCACCCAAGATGAAGTGTGGAGAGTAAGAATAAAGGAGCCAGTACAAAGTACAGCTGGACAGGGCAGATTTATTTTCCATCCCTTTCCAAGGCAGCAAACACTCCATAGTTCGTGTTTACTCCCAGTATCTCCACTCCCCCATTTGCTCCTTGCTCCTTCACTCCCAGTGTTTGCAGAGACCAAGGGAGTCAGGGCAGGTTTGCAGCCCAGAGCTGTGCCAGGGGGTTGTGGTCCCACCAGCAACACCAAACCCTGTCCCCAGCACGGTGTGGGCCTGCCTGTGCCACCCCAAGCTCTGCAGGCCACTGCTGTCCCCCAGCTGTCACAAGAGCTGGCAGCAGCTCCAGCAGGACACGAGGTGTGGGACAGCAGGGGTGCCCTGCAGGGTGGCATGAGCCTGTGCTGGCAGCAGCTGAGGGACAAAGGGGCAGCCCGTGGCCAAGGTGACAAGGACAGCTCGTGGCAAGGTCAGCACCTGTAACACCACACCCCGTGTTTCTTGGAGAAGGAAATTCCTTGTCCCTGGAACAGGACAGGTGCTGATCCCTGCTGGCTGCACCAGGGAATGGCCAGGGCAGCAGCCCAGCCTGCCCTGCTCATCCCAGGGCTACTTCTTGTGCTTCTTCTTCTTCTTCTTTTTGGGAGCCCTGCTGGCTTTCCCTGAGTGCTTGGGCCTCTTGCTGGAGGGCTGAGCTCCATCACTGTCCGAGGCTGAGCTGTCTGAGTCTGACTCCGAGCACTGCTTGGCCTTGTGCTTCTTCTTTTTCTTCTTCTCCTAGGAAAACACAGCAAAGCCTGGCAATGTGGAAATGCTCCCCTGGTGCTCAGCAGGGCAGCACGAGCCTTTCTGGGCTGTTCCTACATGGAAAGGGCACCGTGCCCCAGCAGGCAGGAGTTCATCATCACCACTGCCACCCTCAGCTGCAGGGCACAGAGCATGAAATCAGAGCACTAGGGCAGCAACAGGGAAATCCAAGGCTAGAAAACATTGGATAATTCATGGAAGGAGAGTTCTTGCTTTCACTCCTTTATTTCATGGTTCTTTATTAATACAAGTTGGAAAGATGAAGCTTTTTTGCCTAAAAAATGGGTTTGTAAGCCAGCCATGAGCAGCATCTCTACAGCCCCAGCCCCCGGCCTGCCAGGACAGGAGCACTGGAGCATCCAAACACTCCCTGCTCTGGGCAGGACAGCCCAGGGGAGCTTCCTGCAGCAGGGTGAGGTCAGTGCCCTCCTGCAAGATGTGGTTCTTTACACAACCTCCCTAAAGATTTCACCACCCCCTCCCATTTCCCAACTTCCTCTGTTCCCCTTCCTGCTCCCCAACTTCCCACTGCACCCCTTCCTGCTCCTCAGTTTCCACTGCACCCCTTCCTGCTAATTCTTCCATACACTCTTCTGCCCCCCAGTTTTCCTTGCACACTCTCCTGTTCCCAAACTTCCCTTCCACCCTCCTCTCCTGCTCCCCAACTGCCCCTGCCCCCTCTCCTGCTCTCTCTCCCCTCAGAGCCCCTCATGCTGTGGTTTTGCAAAGCCCTGAAACAAAAGCTCCAGATCTGACCCTTGGCTGCAGCACAAGAACAGCTGGTCTGGAATAAAGCCTGCAAGGAACTTTGAAATGGATCTAAACCCTCCAATTTGAGGCGAGATGAAGCAGCAGGCAGAGATTACCCTGAGATCAGGCTGGGGGGCACTGGGATCACCCCAGACAGATCTGCACTGTTTAATGATGCAGGATGGCAATTTGGGGATATTTAACAGAACACAGGCCTGGGGAGAGGATCTGATTGACCCTGTGCTGCTGCATCCCCTTCCAGCAGGGAGCAGGAATGCTGCCAGCAGCTGCCAAGGGCCTGGCAAACCCCATCCTGCAAAAACCCAGGTGTCCCTTCCCTTGGCACTGAGAAGTCCAGGGAAGCAGGGGAATGGGCTGGGCCTCCCAAATAACTGTGCCTTGCACATGGGTCATGCAAAGCTGCAGCTTTCTGTGCAAGCACAGCAGCAGCAGGCTCCAATAAAGATCCACCAACTCCATCCCTGGCCACATCAATGCCTGAGACCTTCCTGGGAAAAGGCTCTGAGGGTCAGGAATGGTTTGGGTTGGAAGTGACTTGAACAAGCACCCAGTGCCACCCCTGCCATGGCAGGGACACCTCCCACTGTCCCAGGTGCTCCCAGCCCCAATGTCCAGCCTGGCCTTGGGCACTGCCAGGGATCCAGGGGCAGCCACAGCTGCTCTGGCAATTCCATGGCAGCCCCTGCCCACCCTGCCAGGGAACAATTCCTTCCCCAGATCCCATCCAGCCCTGCCCTCTGGCACTGGAAGCCATTCCCTGTGTGCTGTCCCTCCATGCCTTGTCCCCAGTCCCTCTCCAGCTCTCCTGGAGCCCCTTCAGGCCCTGCCAGGGGCTCTGAGCTCTCCCTGGAGCCTTCTCCTCTCCAGGGGAGCACCCCCAGCTCTCCCAGCCTGGCTCCAGAGGGGCTGAACAGGAACCTTTGCCCTACTTGAGAACACAAGGAAAGAAGCCAAGGAGGGTTTCATGGACAGAGATGGCCACTGAGGTGACCAAAGCCCTGGGACAGGCTTGGACAGCTCCAGTGAGGAATGTGACCCAGCAAACTCAGCTTAGGGCTCTGACTAACCCAGCTTTTAAGCAGCTGTGCCCAAAGTGGACTGGGTGTCCAAACACCAGGCCCAGGCTGTCAGCTGGGGAAAAAGGAAAGGAGGTGGCAGCTTCATTTTAGTCAAACTGAACAACTCTTTTAGGGAGCTGAAAGAGCAAAGACAACACTCAGAGCTGAGCATCCAGCAGAGTCCTCTGGGATTCCAGGGAAGGGAGCAGAAGATCGAGTCTCTCCACACCCACCAGACCCTTGGCACATTTTAGCTCCATAACAGCAAATAATGTCACCCAAAACTCAGTCTGTTTCCCTGTGGGGTAACAACAGGCTCACCACAAAGTCCCTGACCCACAGAAGAATGACAGAAGCAAATCCTCCCCGTCCTGAGAGGATGGGAAAGAGTTAAATCCTCCAGAGAAGGGGATGCAGAAAGGAGAATTTTCTCAAGCTTTTCCAGCCCGTGCACATGGTGAGAAAGTTTGACAAGACCTTCACAATCAACAGTTTCATTCCAGAGCTTGGGAAACTTTCTCAGGATGTGAGGGCTGAAGGCAGGACAGGATGTCACACACGCTCCTGGGGATGGATCAGGGGACATAAAAGCACACGTGGGCATTGTGCTGGCTGGAAAAAAAATCAACAAACCCTCACTCTCCCCTTTTTGGGGGCTTCTAACAGCCAAGATCACTCCAAGAGAGACAAACTCCTTTTCTGGCACACAGTGGGGTTCTTGGGGTGTCCTGTGCAGGGCCAGGAGCTGAACTAAATGATTCCTGTGTCTTTTCCAACCCTGGATATTCCACGGTTCTCTGGTTGCTCCAGTGCAGAAGTGCAGGCAGCACAAATCAGCACAGCCTGGGCTGGAGGTGCAGCAGGAAACACAGAGAGCTGAGCATTCCCAGAGGGAAAAATGTGGCTGCTCCAGCCCTGGAGCAGCCTGGGACAGTGGAAGTGTCCTTGCCCATGGCAGGGGTGGCACTGGATGAGATTTCAGGTCCTTCCAACCCAACCCATTCCAGGATTTTATGATTTTCAGTAGCAGGAGGCAGTGCTGCTGCAAAATCCTCCTGCACAAGCAGCATCCTGCTGCAGAGCACAGCCTTCCTTCAGTCCAGCATCCCAGCCCTGCACAGGACAGCAGGAGCTGCTCCCAGCTCAGGGACTGCCCAGCAAAGCCCAGGTTTGTGCCTGCAGGGACAGCCCTGAGCTGTCAGGTGCTGGATGGGGCTCAGCTCAGCTCTGGGCACACCCAGCACTCCAAACACTGCATTTTGGGGAGATGTTTGGAGAGGATTTGGCCCAAGCAGCTCTCGGTGCAGAGGGCTCACAGCACAAAGAGCTGCACTTCACAGTTCCCTGCACATCCTGCTCCACCTATGCAATTATCACACCAGAACCCAACAGAAGGGCTCCAAAATCTCTCCCCAAGCCCCTGCTGGAGCTGCCAGCAGGACAGCAGCAGGCTGGGCTGGAGCCTGAGTGCTGCTTTTCATGGAATTCCTTCCCTACTGCTCCAAAAACTCCTCCAAGAGGGGCCTCTCTGCACCCCAGGCTTCCTCCTGCTCTTTGTGAGGAAACTGCTCCAGGCTGTGCTCTCAGAATGTCACAACAGCTCACTCCTCCTAAAGGTATTTGGGGTTGAGATAAGAGGGGAGTGCCCAGAACTCTCCAAGAAGTTGAAATATTTCTTACCAGACCCTTTAGAGGAGTTATGATCCCATTCCTAGACTTTGTGAAAAACTCAAATGGATTTCTAACGTCTGTCTGCATCCCCAGGGGTGTGCCAGGAATCCTTCTAGGCTTCTTAATCTTATTTTTTATCCTCATTCCACCACCCAATTTCATTCCAAACAAGATTCATTATATCAATCTGAAGCTGTTTTTGCATCCTTTGTTGGAGGAGCAGTCAGAATGAAGCTGAGGAGAAGAACCCAGCCTAGAGCCAGGAAATAAGAGACAGCCAGATTCAGAAAAATTTGGATTAAGACAATGTGTAAAGGGCTGTGCCCTCTTAATGCCATGGAAGAACCAGTAAAACCAGTAAAACTGAGGATGGACCAAGGCTAGATGAGCCACAGGTCACAGAGCAAACACACTTAGGTGTGGTTTTTTGCATGAAGATTTGTAGGAAAATCTGGAAATCTTTCTCGAGGTGGGGAAAAGAGCAGCAAAGTCATAAAAATGCCCCAATCCCAAAGGTCATCCAAACCCACCTCAGGGATGAGCTGCTCCATGTGGAATAAAGCTCATAAGGAATTTTGAAATGGATCTAAACCCCCAAATTTGAGGTGGTGTGAGCAGCAGATGGGATAGACTTGGAGAATTTCAATCCAAGGGGTTATCCCTCGGTCAGCACTGCAGGTTTTTTCTTGGAAGACAAAGGCAGCAGGATCAGCAGGGCTCAGCCATTCCCAGCCTCCTGCCTCCCACACAGTCCCAGCAGGGACACTGCTGTTCCCACAGGAGCTCCTTCACCCCCTGACCCCAGGAGGAACAGGGACACAGAGCCTGGGCCTGCCCAGCTGGCCCAGACAGGCTCCAGGCCTCATCCCTGGCACAGCACCATGGGATCATGGAATTCTTTAGGCTGGAAAAGTCCTCCAGGATCAGCCAGTCCAACCACGGCCTCAGAACCACCAGCACATCCCCAGGTGCCATCCCAGGTGGTTTATGAGGGATGGGGACTCCACCACTGCCAGGACAGTTTTAGCAACCCTTTCTGTGAAGGATTTTTCCCCAATATCCAACCTAAACCTCCCTCAGCACAACCTGAGGCTGTTTCCTCTCATCCCAGCCCTCATTCCCTGGCAGCACCCCCCTGGCTGTCCCCTCCTGTCAGGGAGTTGTGCAGAGCCAGGTCCCCCCTGAGCCTCCTTTTGTCCAGGCTGAGCCCCTTCGGAGCTCCCTCAGGATTCTCCAGCCTCTCCCCTTCTCCCTCCATCAGGGATCAGGAGACAGGACAGGGCCCAGTGCTGCCACCCAATGATGTGTCCCTGTCACACCAGTGCCACTCCCACACAGAGCCTGTGAACGCTGTGGGGCTCAGGCAGGAGGGAAAACCAGAGCTGGGAACATCGGGAAAGCAAGGTGAGAAAAAAAGGGTGAGGATCCTGCAGTGTCTCAAGAGAGGAATCTCTGGGAAGAGGAAAAAAAACCCAGAAACTGCAAGGAAACATCAGATCCAGGAAAGCACAAAATGCTGATCCTGAACAACCACAAAGATTAATTTTATTGCTCTGACACTCAGTGGAATCCCTTGGGAGCTGGCAGCTCCCTCCTGTCATTTAAAAACCGCAGCCCCACTGTGGTGTCACACACATGGGAGGGGACAGGTCAGCAAGGAGATTGTCCCTGAATCCACAGAGCTATTTCCACGTGCTGTAAACCCCCAGAGCCCCAGGCAAGCACATGGTGGCTCCCAGACAAGATCACAGCAGGCACTCCAGACTACAAGGGAACCATTCATCTCCAGGATCCCACATCCTGCCCCCAAAAAAGCTCAAAGTTTTATTATTCCAGCTCTGGAAAACATCTGAAAACTTTTGATGTCACCCTTGAGAAGGGAGGGAGATCAAAGGAACGAGTGAGATTTCAAGGAAAGCTATTAATTCACCAACCCCAAAAAAATCAGGAACAAATTCAGGACAGTGACACACATTTCCTGTAGTGTCAGCAGGGCAAGACTCCACAGGGAATCCCCATGCTGGTGGATGGGCAGGGGCAGGATAACAAGCTATTCGTGCTCTTAGTGCACTTTTTGTGTAATTTTTCCCCAAAACATTTAAACAACTTGAGCCTTTTCTGCCTGCTGCCACTCTCCAGGGATACAGAGAGGCCACAGAGCTGGAAAGAGGGGAAAAAATAGAGAAAGGGCTTTGGAAAAGTAATTAAAAGTGGGACTGTGAAGGGGCTGATGGGAGAGTTTATTCATTGAAGTCTTGAACTGGATTGTGGCTGCCCCTGGATGTGTCCCAGGCCAGGCTGGACAGGGCTTGGAGCAACCTGGGACAGTGGAAGTGTCCCTGCCCATGGCAGGGGTGAGATGGGATTTAAGGTCCCTTCCAATCCAAACCACTCTGGGATTCTGTGAATACTCACCCCTGAATAAACCTGACCACCAAAAGCTCCTGGTTTGGGTTCAAGCCTCACCTGTGTTTTATTTTATCCCATCCTGCTCTGAGCCAGAGGTCAAACACTGCCTGGAAAATGTCTCTGATCTGGTGCCATTTTCACAGGGACAGAAATTGCTCTGGAGCCTGGGAATGCTCCCTGTGCAAACAGAGCCAGGGATTTTCCCCCAGGGTGTGCAGATAAACCCAATTCCCACAGCTCTGGCAGGGTCAGGATACCCCTGGAGCCAGCAGAGCACTGAGTCCACATGAAAGAAAGGTGTGAGGGCAGGAGAAGGGAGGAAAACAGGTCACTGGCAGGAATACAGGAATTCAGGACACTGAAGCAATGCCTACAGAGCCTCACAAAGACCAGGAAAAGCAATAATCCTCCTTTCCTCACTCTAAGAATATCTTTTGAGGGCTGTGAGTTGTAACACAAAACCAGCTTGAAGGAAGTTTGACAGGAAAAGGAGAAAACCTAAGAATTAGTAAGAAATCTGCAGAGGAAATTCCTGTTTTTCTGCAGAATCTGCCCAGAACTGAGGCACCTTCTCAGCCCACACCTGGCTACTCACACCCATGTTGCTGGAGTAACTCAGGTGTAACTACAGAGCAAATCCCCACCCCCATTTCCTTTTCCAGGCCAGCCAGAGGCCACCTCATACCTTTTTCCTCTTTTTTGAAGACTCCTCAGCCTGGCTGATCCTTTTATCCCCTTCAGGTCCTGCTGCTGCTCCCTCCTCTTCCTCCTCCTCCTCTGGAATGAGGCTGTATTTGGTTCCTCCAGGCTGCATGAAACACTCCTTGGCAAAGTGACCTGGAAAAAAAAGGTGTTTGAAGGAACAACCCAGCCCCTTCTCCTTTTTTTTTTTGTTCTTTTTTTAGCAAATGCATTTCACACACCTGAAGTGCTGCCAAGGCTCTTTTGATTATCAGTCACAGGGAGTCAATCTACACTGGACATTTTTTGTTCTGAAATTTCAGCTGGTTGAACATGCCCTGATTAAACAGGACAGGGAACAAACATAACCCAGGTCATTCTGGAGGGATTAGATAGGCATAAAATAAAATATTCTTGTCTCAACAAGCAAAAAATTTGTCTCTGCAGGAGCTTAATCAGCCCAGAAGAGTGGGAGAAAAATTGGTGTGATTGGCACCTGGAAAATGAGCTAAAGCCACAAAGAGAGAGGAATTCAGCTCTTCTGGTCCTACCCTTTCTACTCTGGAGACATCAAAGTTGACCTACTAAGAGCTGCAGTGAAAATTTGGAGAGCTGGCACCTGCTGTCAGGAGGAGACACATTTATTTAAAAGAAGATTGGAAATAGGCATAATCCTGGCTTTTTTGGGGTTCTTTAAAATAGTGGTTTATATATAATAGTTCTTTAAATAGTAGTAATTCTTTAAAACAGTATTTTAAGGATATTTCTCCACCACTACACAGCCCACACTCATCATTAACCTCCTCCAGAATAGCATGAGCCCTATTAACCATTTCCTCTAAATAACACAAGTAGGGCACAGCAAAAACTCCTGCACAAAAAAATACTTTGTGCCTCAGCAACTTGAATAAATCTACTGAAGGGTACCACAAAATCATCTTCACACTGCTGAAGCAGGCAGGACACCATTTCAGCAAGTCATAAACTTGGTTTTAGCTCTGAGACACAGCTCCAGTGTCCCAGCAGCTGAGCTGGAGCTTCCACTGATAGTTCACAGTGGGATCACCTGGGCAAGGTTTGTTTGCTTCTTAAAAACCCAAATCAGAGTAAGATCTCAGGTATGAGACAGGAATCACAGTGCATGAAGGGGACCTGGCCTGAGCTGTGGCCAGCAGGAGGCACAGAATGGTTGGGGCTGAAGGGCTCTGGAGATCACCTGGAGCAGGTGACACAGGAACACATCCAGGGCTGGGGTGGCTCCACAGGGACAGACTCCACTCTCTCTCTGTTCCAGAGCTCTGCATTCCCCGTGGACAGAAGCTTTTCCTCCCAGTGAGGTAGAACTCACTGTGTTTGAGTTTCTGGCCATCACTCCTTGTCCTGGCCCTGAGCAGGGCCTGGCCCCATCCTCTGACACCCCCTGGGGTATTTCTGTGGATTGACAGCATCCCGTCTCACTGTTTTCTTCTCCACAACAACCAAGCCCATCTCCCTCAGTCTCTGCTCATGGCTCCAGTCCTTCATCATCTTTGTGGCTTCCACTGGCCTCTCACCAGTAGCCCAAAGGGGTGTGTTATTAAGGAATAAACTTTTTTTTAAAGGATTTGAACTAAATCTTTTAGTTTTGTAGCAAGTGATAAAAAAGTGCCTACTCCAAAAGACAAACATGGAACCAAAATTGAGTCCTTACAACCACGTGTAACCATGTCAGCAGAGTGCCCAGAGCAGCTGTGGCTGCCCCTGCATCCCCAAAGTGTCCAAGGCCAGGCTGGACATTGGGGCTGGGAGCAGCCTGGGATTGTGGAAGGTGTCCCTGGGGATTGGAGCCTTGTGGGATTTAAGGTCCCTTCCAACCCAGACCATTTAGGGATTCTAACCATGAGACAGACATTGATACAACCCCACCAAGGGTCACTGCCTGCTGGGACAAAGCCATAAGGAAGCAGCCCAGACCCACCTTTGCAGCCACATTTCTTGCACACTGTATTCAGGACGGCCTCCAGGGTGATCTTCTGGCTCGTGTAGTCCCTGAAGGTTCGTTTCTTCCTCTCATCCTGACTGGAGGGACAAGAGCAGCTCCATTTTCAACCTCATTTTGGTACAAACATACCCGACCACAAGGCTTTTAAAGGTTACTCTCAAAACTTAAAAAAAAAAAATAAAAATAGGATAGCTGACCTGGCCTTGGGCACTGCCAGGGATGCAGGGGCAGCCACAGCTGCTCTGGCAATTCCATGGCAGCCCCTGCCCACCCTGCCAGGGAACAATTCCTTCCCCAGATCCCACCCAGCCCTGCCCTCTGGCACTGGAAGCCATTCCCTGTGTGCTGTCCCTCCATGCCTTGTCCCCAGTCCCTCTCCAGCTCTCCTGGAGCCCCTTCAGGCCCTGCCAGGGGCTCTGAGCTCTCCCTGGAGCCTTCTCCTCTCCAGGGGAGCACCCCCAGCTCTCCCAGCCTGGCTCCAGAGCAGAGGGGGCTGATCAGGAATTTTTGTTCCAACTCTGTGCCTTGGGCACTGCCAGGGATCCAGGGGCAGCCACAGCTGCTCTGGGAATTCCATGCCAGCCCCTGCCCACCCTGCCAGGGAACTCCATCTGGCAGTGGAAGCCATTCCCTGTGTCTGATGGAAGCCATTCCCCCCTGGCCTGCTCTGCTCTGCTCAGATTTACCCACTCAAGGGAAACGTTGTTGGGGTCCAGGTCTTTCCCTGTGCCTTGGTGAACAACCTTCATGGAGAGGGAGAGCTTCAGCTTGTCATCCTTCATCTAGAAAACATGCAATTAGCAGGATAAATGAGCATGGTGTTAATTAACACACAGGATACTTTATTGTAATTGAGCTTACCTCCTTCCCAATGAGCTTCACCCAGACTTTGTCCCCAACATCAACAATCTCAGAGGGTTTGTCCACACGGCAGGAGGACATGTGAGTCCTGTGGACAAGGCCTGCACGGGGGGGTGGGAGAGAAGAGACACAAACAATGCTCAGATTTGCCTTCCAGCAAAAGACAGCAGCTCTAAAGTGGATGCAGGTAATCCCTTGAGGTGTGGGAAGAATGTGTTTTTACACCATTAATCAACAGAATTTAAAAATTAATAGTGTGTATTGTTTAGCTCATCCTTTTTTCAGTTCTATGGGGACAATTCTCCACTGAATCTCAAATTTGCAGTTTCCAAAGTGGCTTGGAGCTGATAATCCTTTGGGGTGTGGGGAGAATGTGTTTTTAATAAAGTAATTAATTAATAAACAAATAGGTTAATAAATAAGTTAACAAAACATAAAAATTAATAGTCTATTTAATCTTTAACTCATTTTAATTTCTATTTTTTTATTATTGTTTATAATGTAGACACCTTTAGTAAAGCTGTAAATGTTAATAACAAATATAGCTAATAAATATGTTTGAGAATAAACATATATGTATTTTGGAGAGTGCTCCAATTTTTTAACTCCTAAGACAGGTCACAACACCCCAAATTAGATTTTAATTTGGGTGATTGACATGTGGACAGCAGAGTTCTGCAGGGGAGGAGAAATCTGGGAACACTCTGCTGCTCCAGCTCACATTCCAAGGTCACTCTGAGCCTTCCCCCAGCAGCCAAAATCCTGCAGGGAGCAGGAATTCAGCAGGGCAGCAGACAAGAGGTTCCTTGGGGGTTGCAGCTTTCCTACAATCACAGAAACAGCTTTAAATCTGATTTTCCACCTCTTTTTCTTTCAGCTTTGTTTTAGTCTTTTTTTCCCCCACTCATTTACACTGACCATTAAAAGGAAGAAATTTGGCAAACTACCTAACTGCAGGATTTCTATAGTTCTGCCATTATCTTCAAACGATTCTCCAAATTATCCTGGAGTTATCAAAACCTTCACTACAATATTCTGAAGATACAAAAACCCACCCAAAATATCCAGAATTTACCAAAAACCCACCCCCAAATATCCAGAAGTTACCAAAAATCCACTCCAAGACACCCTGGAATTACCAAAACTCCACCCCAAGATATCTTGAAGTTACCAAAAACCCCTCTGAGTATTTCTTGGGAATCATGCAAAAGTCCATCATCTTCTAAATGTTTTCCAAGAACTCCAAATTTCTTCCTAATTGAGGAAAACCTCGTTTTTTGAGCTTTTGTTAAAACCCTTTAATTCTGAGGTGCCTGCTTGCCTTGGACGTTAAAAACAACTTCAGAGACACAAACCTTGTTTCCTGCAGCCTGGGATTTTGATAAATGCCCCATAATCTGTCACTGCAGCAACCTGGGGAGAAAATCCACATGAGAGCTGAAGGAAACCACTCCTGTTCTCAGCCCACAGGGGAGAACCTGCCCAACAAACCTGCACAGTTCACCTGACATGGAGATTATCAGAGCATCAGGGAATGGTTTCGGGTTGGAAGGGACCTTAAATATCATCCAGTGCCACCCTGTGCCATGGCAAGGACACCTCCCACTGTCCCAGGTGCTCCCAGCCCCAATGTCCAGCCTGGCCTTGGGCACTGCCAGGGATCCAGGGGCAGCCACAGCTGCTCTGGCAATTCCATGGCAGCCCCTGCCCACCCTGCCAGGGAACAATTCCTTCCCCAGATCCCATCCAGCCCTGCCCTCTGGCACTGGAAGCCATTCCCTGTGTGCTGTCCCTCCATGCCTTGTCCCCAGTCCCTCTCCAGCTCTCCTGGAGCCCCTTCAGGCCCTGCCAGGGGCTCTGAGCTCTCCCTGGAGCCTTCTCCTCTCCAGGGGAGCACCCCCAGCTCTCCCAGCCTGGCTCCAGAGGGGCTCCAGCCCTGCAGCAGCTCCATGGATTCCTCTGGACTCTCTCCAGCAGCTCTAGGTGATGTTTATGTTGGAATTTCGAGCTCTGCAGGTGGGGAATCACCTGAGTGGGGCAGAGGGACAGAATCCCCCCTCCCGTGCTGCCTTCCCTCTATCGCTGCACACATACCTATATATAAACAACAACTCCACGCCCACAGCTGTGTGTACGGGTACAGAGCTGTTCGTCACCTAAACTTCCCCTACGCTAAGCCCTGGCGGAACCAAGACAATCAATTCCCACAGAGCACGGCCCAGGCCGTGCCCCCGCTGCCCGCACCTCGCCCTGGAAGATGGAGTAGAGTTCGGGGAGCGGCTCCATCGCCTCCACAGGTCCCGTGCCAGCCAGCTGCATTCACCCCACGCTACCGCATCCTCTCTCCAGGATACTGAGAAAAGAAACATTTCATTGACGCCTGTAAACCCTAGAGCCCTCAGGGTTCAGAAGCTTGAGGAAATCAGGGACGGACCCGAGCGGAACCCACAGTGCCGCGGTTCAGGACTGACCCAGACTGGCGCCGTGGGACAAGACGGCTCTTCCCAGAGCCCGCGGGGCGGTGGGAGCTCGTTAGCGCCCGGGCCAGCAACACCAACGCGCTGCCATCACCTCAACCACCCCCGCCATTCTTCCCTCAAGCCAAGAGGCCACGCACCCCGCCAATCACAGAGCGCAATGTTACCGGGTGGCGACTCGCAGCCAATCAACGTTACCCAAGCTACCCAGCGCCCAGTCTCCACCAATCAGAGCGAGGCGCGCCAGAAGGTGCCGCACTCCCCGCTCTATCCTCGGCGCGCCGGTAGCGTGTGAGGGGGGCGGGACATTCAGGGCGCTTCGCCAATCAGCGCTGCGGGAGCGGAGCCGGCAGCCAATGGAGCGCGGGGGGCGGGGCCTGGCGCCCGCCATGATCGAGCAACAGAAGCGGAAGGTCCCGGGCCCCGGGCCTGGCCCCGGCCCCGTTCCCGGCCCCCCCCCGGCCCCCGCCGCCCCCGGCGTCGCCCCCGCGCCCGGCCCCGACCTCCCGCTCGTCCCCGTGCCCGCCAAGCGGCCTCGCCATGACCTGCCGGCGGCGCCGGGCACGGGCGGTGCGGGCGGGCAGCCGCCGACCGGAGCTCTGCTGCAGTCGGTAATGGGGGCAACGTGAGGGGAGGGTGGGAGGAGATCCGGGATGGGGTGGAGAGGTGAGGGAAGAAGGCCGGGGGCGGTTGCAATAGCAGGGAAAGGCCACGAGCATGTTGGGGCTGGGCACTGCTGAGGCACCTCCAGTGCTGCGTTCGGTTCTGGGCCCCTCAGTGCAGAAGGGGCTGGAACGTGTCCGGGACATGGAGCTGGGAAGGGTCTGGAGCCCCAGGAGAGGCTGAGGGAGCTGGGAAGGGGCTCAGCCTGGAGAAAAGGAGGCTCAGGGGGGCCCTTGTGGCTCTGCA